AGGGGAAAAAAGAGATAAACTGGGATACCTCTCAAACAGTTTAAATCCCCCATCAACAATTGCTGGGACCTTCCTCATCGGATTGATTTCTGCAAAACGCACCATCTGAGTGCCACTAGCTGCCAGTGTCTCGCTCTTGAATAATAATAATAATAACTCAAGGATAATAATAGCATGTGCATATCGAAAACAACAAGTAGTACATTCATTAATTTCACTGTAGTGCAAAAATACAATGGAAACATTTTGACTTCTATTAAAAGGTATTTTGTCAGATTAGTTCACAAAAACCGCGGATCTTGCACGAGTGAGCATTCTACTCCCACATTTATATCTTTCCATTCTTTGATTCATCTCATTCTTTAAGGGGCTGTTTGGTTCGTTTTTTAACTCGTTGGAAAAGTTTTATACCGCCTCCACATCAGATTTTTTGTGGCCACGTAGGATATAAGCTTTCCGTCGGTTTCTTTTCCCATCTTTGGTTCGCTAGGGTTGAAGAAGGGAAACTCGGTGAAAATCGCCGCCACATCAGATTTTTTTCTCTCCCCCAATTCCTTCCTCAACCTCATGAAATCGATGAAAACTGCAGCCACGTCAGCTTTTTGTCATATAAACAAAAGTTTTCCTTTTTTTTTCATGCGAACCAAAAAAAAAAAATAATAAATACATTGGTTTCCCATCATTTTTTTTGTGCGAACCAAAGCGAAACAATCTATTTCTTGGAAAAGTTTAGAAAACTCAAAACTTGTGTTTTTGTACATGGAAATGCATTTCCCTATATCTAAGAAAAGAAGCAAACAGCCCCTAATAAGAAAACTGAGGGATATATCGTTAAAAGAAGAGGGACCTTTGTATGCTGGAGATCTGTGCTCTCCTTTAGAGAGATCAACCGTCACCTCCTCGAAATCGATCTTGTTCGTCCTAATTTTCTCAAAAAAAAAAAAAATTAAAGCAAAATTGAAATAAAATCCTTCTTAAAAAATGAAAAAAAAAAGGAAAAGTAAATTACTTGCAGAAGATCAAGATGGCACGCGATGGCTGCGACAACGGGTAGACGTACAGCTTCAACCCCATATCTCTTTCTCTCACAAACACTAAAAACTCTCTCTCAAAATTTTAGAGAGCAGAGAGAAGAGTGCGATGGACTGGCGCTGGGGGAAAAGCTGGGGAGTCAACGTGAAGAAACTAGGAGCAGGGGACAAGGGGTACCACAAATATTTACCAAATTTGTACGAGCAATCTAATTTAGAGGACTAAAAAGGTAATTTCTATGCGCCGTGGAACATGGCCTTGCCAATTATGACACTGAGGCCGAGATCCCCTCCCCCATCACGTGGGACCCATCTGATTTTTATTCCCTGGGATGATGACGTGTGATTTAACGTTTTTCACGCTTAGGGGCTGTTTGGTTGTTGTTGGTAAAGTTGTGTATTTATGACACAACTTGGAAGGTTGTTGTCCACCTCATCAATTTTACTTTTAAATTTTTCTTTGTTTGTTTTTTATTCCATTGGAATCATAAATTGCTTGTTTGGTTTGTAAATGTAACTTTAATTGTTTGTTTGGAATGTGTAAAAAGTGGTCTCTATTCAAATGATCATATTGGTTGGAATTATTTTTTATTATTTTTTCCTAACTTTAATGTCAGCTTTCTCCTATTGGAATTATTTTTTATTATTTTTTCCTAACTTTAATGTCAGCTTTCTCCTAAAATCATATCTTTTTTTTATAAAATCATTTTACAAGCCACATCAGCATATGAAATCACTTTACACTATTTTCACAACTACAAACAAACAATTGAAAGTGATGAAAGCTGACATTGGGACCCACTTTTTTACACTTTCCATCCTTTTACATGGTAAAAACATACAACCAAACAGCCCCTTAGACCATCTCCAGCAGGAGGTGAAATTTCACATCCTTCTCTCCTGCCACATCACTTTATTTAATTTAATAATCTTCATTTCCCTATCAACTCTGCAGCAGCTAGTTTTTCAGAAAGTTTTTTACTTTTTTTGGGACCCACCATAACCACATCACTTCAACATATACCCCACCATATTTATTCATTCTTTTTCCTATTTCAAAAAGCAAAAAAAAAGGAGAATAGGGTGTAGAAAACTCAAATTTTTTTTGGTGTCCAAATAACACAAAGTTAGTCTCTGTTTATAGAGTTTGAAAAATGAAAAATAATGGTATAAAAATTAAAAAATTAATTCATAGTAATTATCTCCTAAAATTGCATTTAAAAATTAGGAAGAAACCAAAAAATACCGGCCAATCAGACCATGACGCGTGGCAGCGTGCATGGCTGATGCCAGCACAAGCCCGACACGCGTCATGGTCTGATTGGCCGCGCGTTTTTCTAATTTTTTTTTAAAAAAATTGTGGCAGCCTCTGTGGGCCCCACACTGCAGAAAAACCCATAGGGAAATTTTCCCTTTCTCTCCCTTCTGTTTCCAATTCCCTTTCCTTTTCCCTACCCGTTGCACCCAAATATCCCCCCAATCCCTACCTGCTGAGAATTATTTGCCCTTTGAGAATGTTATTTTCAAAAACTTACAATGCATGATGAAAAGTAAATTGAAAGTACAGAAACATCCTTAACTATTAAATTAAGCACATAATTTATGACATGACGAAATAGTGAAATGAGTACTATCTACTAAGGTAATAAAAAGTTATAACTATAAAAGTGTATTCGTTAGGGCCAATTTTGTATTCTTTTTTAATGTGCTTTTTGCTAATTTTTAATAAAAAAACAGTCAGCGGTGGTGTTTGATGAAAACTTTTTTGCCATGCTTATTAAAAACTGCCTCTGGTTTTAAATGGATGTTTTTAGAAGCAGTTTGATGATGCTTCTGAAAGCAACTTCTGCTTTTTTTAGTTTATGTACCATATATACTTTTTTTAACAATAATCATTAAGCATGGTTATACCAAACACATCAACTGTTTTTAGTAGTTTTTAATATTTGATTATCGTTGACATAGGGAAATTAGTATGTGGTTCAGGAGAAGTAAGAATGATTTTGAAGTCCCTTAATCTCCTTTGATGGCTGATTATTTTGATGGCATTGAACTGCTGCTCCCTGCACATAATAACATATGTTAGATTCCCCAGAGGTATTTTCTTTGGCGTGCCCTATGCCGCTCAAATCAGTAATTACTCTCATAATTTGAAAAGAGAAGTAGACTGTAGTGTTTTAGGGTTTTGTATGCGTACCTTAGAATAGCAGAGATGATTCCATTTATTAAAATTTTACAATGGTATTTTCATAACATGCCCAACTAATTGATCTGACTTATGCTGTCGCTTTACACGTGTCTGAGGATGATTGGTCAGTGGCAGAGAGATGTACTCATCGCATTTAATATGACAGTAAATGAATGACGGGAATGCAGGTTTGTCGTCCAATGAGTCATTATGATACCTAAATATGCATTAAATGCGAGGGCGACTAGGTGACACTGTATGTGCGCTGAACTATTCTACATTAAATGCGAACGCTGTTGACAAGATTGTTGGCCATTCCTTACTTCAGACCCTCCCCTACTAAATTAGACCTAAAGACGTCTTTCGACTCGGCCCGGAATCAACTGGTAGATCTTGACTCGAAGTTGTCTTTCATCTTGTCTCGGACTCATATCACACAGATTAGTTAGCCTCCTTATAGCTTAGACCTTGGTCGGACATGTTAGCCATATGGTTCGTTCTAAGTATGCCACATGGCCAGTTTAAGGACATGATAATTATCAGGGTATAACAATTACCAAATAACTATTTTTAACAGCTTATATAAGTTACTTTTATAAGCTATTTTTATAAATAATTTATTATAACTCTAGCAATATTAAACTGGCCCAATCTTTCTAGTATTTTTTCTAAGAATACTATTATTTTTCTCTCTTTACAAAAAAAAAACTACACATGGGTTTATTTAGACAATGTTTTAACTAGTTTTCAACATCGTACAAATAATAAAAACATTTAACATGTGTTTTCAACATATAACACCTCAAACCTTCTATCTAATAAGTTCGATGTAACGTGGAATAGAACTATAGACACAAATGTATACTAGAAAAAATGTAGAGTAAGTTACTTATAAAAAAAGAAAAAGAAAAGAAAGTATGTTACTCCTTAATGCTGTTTGATAAAAAAAATTGTGAGGATTATCTGCAAAGTGTGGGGGCCCACATATTGAGTTTGCCAGAGAACATAGGGTCAGGTTGGTATTATTTTTTTAGGGTGCTTTTTTTTTTAATAATCATACAAGAATGGTGTTTGATAATGTTGAAACTGTTTCTACTTTAAGGGGGTATTTTTAGAAGCAATTTGAGCATGTTTTTAAAAGTAAATTTTGCTTTTTTCAGTTTATTGGGTTGCACGTGGTAAAATATCTTAATTATGTATTTTAGGTTTTATTTATTTATTATAACATGGTTGTGAAAAAATTTATGATTACCATAGCATATTAAAAACTTTTGGATATTTTCATGTGTAAAACCTTATTAGTTTTAACATTTTGCCTCCCAAAGGAATATTAAAATTTGAAATCTTAAAAAAATATTAATGATTTAAGAGCAATTTTAATAATTTGAAGGACTAATTTCAAAATATTAATGACGTAAGAGACCAATATCGAAAAGGCTCTTATTATTAATGAAAAATAAATTCTTGAGTTTGTGAAAGAAAAATAGGTTTTATCTAGTCCTAAAGGATTTTATTTAGTTATAAAAAATTACTTCCACCTATCATTTACATCCGATGACCAAGTATTATAATAATCAAAAGCTTTTTTAGAATTCTCTAGGTCAAAGCATGCTAATTCATGAAAGAAAACAAAAATTATGTGATCGTTTCTAATATCTAATATTGTAATCATTCCACATCTTGTGAACGTGGGGGCCACCACGTTCTCAACGCGTGAGGAGATTTAAAGCGCGTGAACAGCTTCGTTACCCAAACTTGCTGGCCCACCCGATATAATTTGCGCTATATATATCTCTTTCAAACATGACCTAGGGTTGTGTGCAAGGAGGGTTTTTTTCGGCTGTGGCTTTTTTCGGCTGGGTGCAACAGTGAGCAGAGGAGAAAAATTGCGACGGTGTGCAAGAGCAGAGGGCTTCGCGCATCCTGTACGAGAGTGTGGCGTTTTTTGGCTTCGTGTAAAGAAAAGAAAAAGAAAACGCAGAGGCGGTTGTCCTTTTATGAGGGATTTGAGAGCTTGTTTGAGGGTTTAATTTGTGTGATTGTAAACCCTATTTGTATTCTCTCCCTAATAGTAGATCCTCCCCCCCCCCCCCCTTGGCCCGTGGACGTAGGCAATTTGTCGAACCACGTAAAATTAGTTTGTCTCATTGTTTGTGTGCTTTGTAATAGTTTATTTAGGTTCCCTCGACAAGTCAGTCCTAGAACTGATGAGAGGAAGAGCTAATATCCTACTTTGTTGAGATATTTTACTTTTGGTTCTTGTTTTTTTGGTAAAACAGGAATTCTTGTTACAGACTAACTCTCTTGTTGTGTTGCCGAGGTGCTGCCAAAATTTTTACTGTGCACAACAAGTGGTATCAGAGCCCAGATTTTAGATCTAAGGTTTTAGAGTTAGGTGGAGGAAGATTCTTGTGTGAAGCTTGGTTCTTGAAGTTCTAGGCTACGGTGGAGATAGCATTAGGAGTTGCCGTTGGAGATTTTGCTTTTCTTGTGTGGACATGAGATCTATTTGGAATCTGATCTAGGTTCAGTTGGGTAATTCTTAATTTCTATCACAGTTTGATTCTTTCTCTATAACTTGGAGTTAGTTTATAATAGGAGAAGAAGGTGAAAGCAGCAAGACGATGATGAGTACAGTTCAAGTTAGTTTTCAGAATACCAAAATTAATATAGTGAAGTATTACGGTAAAATCAACTTTGGTTTACGGATGAGCGACGTACAGGATGCGCTCAATGCTCAGAACTTGGAGGAGACCATCATGGTCCATGAGAGACCACCAAAATATGAAGAGGTGATATGAGAAAAGATGAATAAGAACGCTTGTGGGTGATCAGGTCCTGTTTAAAACAGGAGCTGAAGTATGATAAGATTAGGGTGACGTCTGCAATGAAGATGTGGGAAATTCTTAACAATAAGTACTTTACAAAGAGTATTGAGAACTGGTTGTACTTGC